AAGGCAGATAATTTCTAAAAGAAAGGTCCACCTAGCAAGAAAATAATGGAGAAATCGGTGGAGATAAGATTACTGAGCTACCCAACAAAAAGAAGGAGACACCTGTCAAGAAAATATTCTCAAAATCTTCTATAAAAGGAGGCAAGAGAAGGAAGAAAACAGACCCCGAGAACACTCTGAATAATCACATCTCAAAAATACACATTTTGTAATCTGTATACACCACTTGTATTTCGAAATATTAGATAGTCAGAAGAAAGCAAAGCTTGTAATAAGGTAATCACTTATGGAGTTCTAAACTTCATAAGGTGAGTACCAAAGGTATGTAAATATAGATTTTAAGCATGTACTATTTCAGTTTATGAATATTAAAGTAAAGTTTGTTATGTTCAACAAAACTTTCGTAAAAGGATTTCGTTAAGTTTCTCATGATTCCTCGGCAGTACAGATAGAGATTTTAAAAGATTTTCAAAACGTTGATTTTGAATGGATGTTAGTCATGCCAAAGTACCCGTCTTTGATGAATGGTTTAGAAGAAAAAGGCAGTTTTCTAACAAAATCGTAGTACCTTGTGTGTGAGTTATCTTTTAAAATTTCATTCCAAGTAAGAACTTGATTTTGAAAAGAGTCTGAATAGAGGTGAAAACAGAGACTCTGAATACTGAGAGATAGCGTCTGTGGTAACACGGCTAGTTTTCTAGAGTGAGAAATGCAACTTTAATTGAAAAGCCTTTTGCGAAAGCAGTTGTGGACCCAAATGAAAAAACTTTTACTTGATTCAGAAAATTGATTAAGTACATGCAAAGCATCTATAAGAGCATACTGGAGGGAAATCTTGTTTACTTCTATTGGATTACTATAAGTTATTTACTCGCTATTACATGCTTATGCTTTCATTAATTTTAATAAACAATTCACAAGCATCCACATCCACTTCTAATGGTGATAATGATCCCAGATTATATTCAGATGAGAAGGATATTTCGCTTTTACTTAAATTAGCTGAAAAGTCTGAAAACATATTTTCTGTTGGCCAAGAAAAACTTGAAGAAATATATTGAGATATAGATTATTATTGTAAGCATGATATAAGACTTGATTCTGTAAGAACTAGTAGAAAAATAAAAAAATGTAGAAGATATTATAACTAAATATAAAGATATACAAGAAGAAGTTTCAGAAGGAATAGTTCTAGGATACATAATTAAGAAAGATCAGCCTAGAATCTTTAAAGAATTATCAAGATATAGAGAATATTTAGAGGTGTTTGAAAGATTGAAAAATACAAACATAAGTCCTGATTAATGAATCCCGAAAGGAGAAGAAATATTGAAAGATTTAGAAAAGATACAGGATACATCTTGCAAATAATAAAAATAAGGGTAAAATAGTATTTCTAATAGTAAAGGTCATTGTGGAAAATAGAACCAATATTCCGGTCATTCAGAAGACTGACCCGACATATTTACACCCTTAGCTTGCTAAAGTGTTGGTATGTTTTGGGAGGCATATGCTAGCCACGCTTATATGAAAATTGAATATGGTTGATCTTATAATATTTCATTCATAATTAGGATTTTTAAATTATTTTTAAGTTAGTATTTCTTTATTAAATAAATTTGAAATTCAATTTTGATTAGGACTTTTAATTTAAGTCATTATCAAGAATTTAGACATTTTTAGCACCATTTTCCCCCTCAAATGCACTTAAGAATAATATTTTGTTGGGGAATATACGATTAAAAAATAAGATTTTTTTAAAATTTGTATGCAGTATTATCTTATTGAAAAATATGCAGTTAAAAATAAGAGAGAAAAATGTGTTTCTAAAAATAATGGGCACAAACAGGGGTGAAGTTTAGTTGGTATCCAAATTTTAATTATTGCTTTAAATATGAGTTGTAAGCCATCTTGACAATGAGTTTTTTTTTTTATAATAAAATATTAATTGTTAAGATTTTCTCCAATTTTCAATTCAAATTAGTATTCGTTCGAATTAATGATTTCTTGATCAAATCAAATATTTTGTATTCTTAATCAACAAATATTTAACTTTACAGTATTTGTTGATTTTAAAAAACGTACCTCAAACATGGTCAACAGATTCCAAGACTTCTCACATCCAAGCGAATCGTATTCATGCACACTAGGACAAATCGTTAACCATCTTCGGTGGGAGTGGAGCCGGCCGTGTGCACTTCGATGGTCAAATCAATTTCGAAAGAAATATATGAATGTGGAAGGGCTTTTAACATCAGCCTTCAACGTAAAAAAAGGGTGTCAGTATTGGGAGTAAAATAAAGAATGTAGGAAGCAAAGTTATTGTATCAAAGTCTAAACTAGCATTACATTTCAATAGCCTTCACTGTAAGCTTTTATAGTTTAAGAGAATGAGTATGAACCGTTAGATGAGAGGTCACGTGACCTCATCCATGTAATTTTAACTTCTTGTCATGGGCGTCCATCAATCTTGAGACATAAATGCTAATGACAATTTGCTTTTCCATAAGTCATAGCCCGTGGTGGTAGACTTGACCAAATAGGTTGGTTGTGGTGGTAGAGGCAGAGAGTTGTCACATTAATCACTTCAATAGATCCGATTTCAAAAGATCTTTTGCCAGGCTCTTTCTTTAGTTTTCTTTAGTCCTTCCCTGCCTAAGAGGTTTAGCCTCAAGAGCTTATCTACAAAATAGGCTCAGCTATAGCATGGGTTTGGCCATGGCATAGGCTCGTCTATGGGGTTTGGCATAAGATTTTGCTACCTAGTTCACATACATGGGTTCTGCCCTCATGGGACTGACTGCCACGTAGGACGTATCCAGGACCTTGTTGGAAAAGGCATAACAATAGCCCCCGAAATCCAGGTATAGATATTTATATATAATACGTGGACTTGAAAGTTAGGAGAAAGAAAAAGAACATGTTATAACACACAGTCCCCAAAGTCCAGGGATGGATATTTATACAATGCCTAGACTTGAAAGTTTAGGAGAAAGAAAAAGAACATGGACTTCAAAGTTGAAGAAGTAGAAATGGTGAATGCATCAAGTTATTGCGACTTGTGCGCTTAAGATTCAGGATTGATAAGCCGCGATGAGGCTTCAAATGGAAGAGGCAATGCCTTAAAGAGAGGTGAACTTGTCGTTCTTGGGTGGAAGCTGTGATGAGGCTTCAAAGAGGCAATGCCTTGACGAGAGACGAGCCTCTTGTACTTGGGTAGAAGCCGTGATGAGGCTTCAAAAAGAAGAAGCGATACCTTCAAGAGAGGTGAACCTATTGTACTTAGGTGGAAGCCGTGATGAGGCTTTAAAGAGAGGTTTTGCACGTGTGGCATTATGATTTGACAACGATGCCAGTTCTTAAGATAGGGCAAGATTATGGCTTTGATGGTACCCACTTTTCGTGTTAAGTGAGCATTAACTGCGTGATGATGATGATTCTAGGACAACTAGAAGAATTGAGATGAATTTGGGGCGCGTGAGAAGCGCAGGTTCATCAAGGCCATCAATTTAAAACCCTTGAGGTTGTAACGTGTGATTTCCCATAGATGACGTCAATCTGTTGACATAAAAAATGTATCTTTAATGTGGCCAACAGATCTCAAAATCTTTCACGTCAAATTAAGCCGTATTCCTGCACACTAAGACAAACCGTTTGCTACACGTGGCCTTCTTCGGTGGGGATGGAGCCGATCGCGCATACTCCAATGATCAAGTCATTTTGGGAAGAAATATACAAGTGTGGAAGGACTTTTAACGTGAGCCTTCAATGAAAAAAAGGGGTCGATATTGGGAGTAAAATAAAAATGTGGAGAGCAAAGTTATAATATCAAAGTCTAAACTTGCATTATCTTTCAGTGGCCTTCACTGTGAGCTTTTATATTGTAAGAGAATGCGTAAGAACCGTTAGATAAGAGGACACGTGGCCTCATCTATGTGATTTTAACTTCCCATCATGGACGTCCATCAATCTTGAGACATAAATGCTAATGTCAATTTGTTTTCCATAAGTCATAGCCTGTGGCGATAGACTTGACCAAATATGTTGGTTGTGGCAACGGTGGTAGGGAGTTATTATATCAATCACTTCAATAGATTTGATTCAAAAAATCTTCTGCCAGGCTCTTTCTTTAGTCTCCTCCCCTGCCCGAGAGGTTTAACCTCAAGAGCTCGGTTACCACATGGCTCAACTATAGCATGGGTTCAGCCACAGCAGAGGTTCGTCCATGGGGTTTGGCCGTTAGATTTTGCCACCTAGTTCACATATGTGGGTTCTGTTGGAAAAAGCATAACAATATTCTTTGTGATTCAATGCATCCGTTACTTCCATCGGCTACATCACACACGTAGCATGGTTTGTGTACATATAGACATGTAGGGAAAGAAATTATTCTGTTTGGTACTAATTCTTCAAATTAATTTTTTGATCGTTAAAGAGAAAAGTTGATTTCACTTGTGAGTAAAGAAGTAAAAAATGACGAATGATCATGATAACGGTCAAAAAATTGATTTTTTGACCAAAAAAATCAGAACCAAACAGGGGCTAAATCTTTTTTGACCAAAAAAATCAGAACCAAACAGGAGCTAAATCTCTGAATTGACCATCCTCAGTGTGCCTTGGACTTGGAGGTCCTTCATCCTGTTCCGGGCAAGTACATTATTAACAAAAATTCATTTAATAAATTTAAAAAATTTCTTATAAAGAAAAAATATGTTCATAATTTTCATTACTTGTAGGATTATAAAATTAGACACAATATTCCACTAATCTACACCACTTTACGTTTGTCTATATTATGTTTTGGGCCCCGTTTGGTAGGGATTTTGAGAATTGATTTTTTGACCGTTAGAAGAAAAGTGGGGTCCACATGTAATAGAAGAAGTCAAAAATTACGACTTGAATAGTAAAATAACGATCAAAAAATCAATTTTTTGAGGCAAAAAATCCCTACCAGCCTTATTTTGTTTATAATAAAATTCGGCAACTTACTCTACCTCCCTCAAGTAGCGCTTCTATTCAACATGACAACATCCCACAAAATTAGAAAAATATAAACCCTAGCTAAAACCTCCTTCTCCGCGTGTGTGGAGAGAGAGAATCAATATTATGGACGAAAAGAGAGAAGATGGGCGTTCAGCGACTCAGCTGAGGCCACTGAGCTGTACTCGTAGCGTTCTCAACCGTGCCCATGGCTCTGCTAGTTTTTCTCAAGGTACAATTTTTTATGAATTTTCTCTTCTTTCTGTTTTTATTTATTCGTTCCTTTTTTGAATTGGTTAATTAATTACTTATAAATACTTCCTTGGGCAGGTTCTTTTTTCTTCTTCATTTTTTTAATATAATTATTATTTGCTTCAGTGATAATACATTTATTTATTTTTATTATTATTATTATTTTTTTGTAATGATTATCTACTTTTCAAGTTGTATTCTTTATTTGGTTTGTATTATTATGACTTTTCTAGTTCTATTGTATGAAATTCAAAAGTTTTCGCCTGAACAACAGTTATTCATTTTGGAAGTTTTAAACATGTATTTCTTGAAATGCAGACGAAAAGGAATAAGATAAATGTCTGTTGCTATTACAAAATGAAGATATGAATGAAGAAGAATAATGAGGCTATTGCAGCACGTAAATGGAGAAGAAGAAATGATTATTGTATATTCTCAAATGCTTGCAATTACAGTATATATATATATATATATTTTCTTCTACACTCTTCTTCAACCGGTATCCACAGTATATTCCTTATGCAACTTGTCGGGTCTCTCATCTTCTAGAATGTTTTGCTGTTGACATGGCTTGAGGTGGGGTTGCTGACCTGTTTTATCCAAGTGGCATTTCATTTTCTCTTCATACTTCAACATCCCCCCGCAATATGGAGAGTAGATATCTTCTGCTCCCATCTTGGCCAGATGAGAATAAAAACTAGGTGAACTTAATGCCTTGGTAAGAATATTAGCAACTTGAGCACTGGTCTTTACATGTTCAGTCACTATACTTCCTTCTTGAACTTTGTCTCGTATCAAATGACAATCAAGCTCTATGTGTTTAGTTCTTTCGTGAAAAACAGGATTTCCAGCAATATGGATTGCTGACTTACTATCACAATACAAAGGTGCTGCCTGTGGGTGGCATACTGTCAAATCTTTGAGTAAGAACAGTAACCATGTTAGCTCACAACAAGTGCTTGCCATGGCCCTATATTCAGCCTCTGCTGAGGATCTAGAAACTGTTTGCTGTTTCTTTGATTTCCAGGAGATTAAGGAAGATCCTAAGAAAACACAATAGCCTGTGATGGATCTTCGTGTGTCAGGACATGATCCCCAATCAGAGTCACTATATGCTTGAAGTTGCAGCATTGATGAGGCTGGATAGAATAGACCTTGGCCTGGACTTCTCTTAATATAACGAAGTACCTTGTGTGCTGCATTAATATGTGGAATTCTGGGTTCATCCATGTATTGGCTTAAGAGTTGGACAGCATAAGATATGTCAGGTCTGGTTACGGTTAAGTAGAGAAGTCTTCCGATTAGCCTTCTGTATATAGATGGATTTTTGAGCAATTCACTTTGGTTTTTGAATAGCTTCATATTCTGGTCCAAAGGAATTTTTGCTGGCGTGGCTCCGATTGTGCCTGAATCTCTCAATATGTCTAGGGCATACTTCCTTTGACAAAGCATGATTCCTTCTTTTATTCTTGCTATCTCAATGCCAAGGAAATACTTCAACATTCCCAGATCTTTGATTTTGAGGTTTTCATCCAGCAACAATTTCAGGGAGTTGACTGATTACATATCATTGCTGGCCACAATGATGTCATCCACATATACTAAAATGGCAGTGAATAAGTTCCCTTGAGACTTGGTGAATAGGCTATAATCTGCTTTTGACTGGACAAATCCAAGACCTATGATGAAGGTTGACAATTTTGAGTACCATTGCCGTGAGGCCTGTTTTAGGCCATATAGACTTTTACGCAATTTGCAGACCCTAGGCTGAGATGCCTTCGAATAGCCTGGTGGCAATTCCATGTACACCTCTTCATTAAGATCTCCATGTAGGAGTGCGTTATTTACGTCAAATTGGCATAGGAACCATCCTTTGATGGCTGCCACGGCCAGTAAAGTTCTGACAGTAACCATTTTTGCAACTGGGGAAAAGGTCTCGTGGAAGTCTAGTCCTTCCCGTTGTGTGTATCCTTTGGCGACTAGTCGTGCCTTATGTCTTTCAATCGACCCATCTGAATTATGTTTGATTTTGAAAACTCATTTGCACCCTATGGCTGATTTCCCATCTGGTAAATCTGTGATAATCCATGTGTTATTTTGCTCCAGTGCATCAATCTCATTTTGCATTGCCTTGCACCATTCTGGGGACTTTAATGCGTCACTGTAACTGTTTGGCTCTATGTGGGAAGTGATAGATGTGGTGAAAGCTTTGTGTGCATGTGATAATTTATGATAGGAAATAGTTGCTTCAAGTGGGAAAGGATTACCTGGAGCTGGTTGAACCTTTTGCCCTTCAAACTCTTGGAAAGGGATAGGTGAGCTGGCCTGCTGGCATACGAAATTCTGCAAGTATGGCCGAAATTTTCTGGTTCTGGTAGATCTTCTAGGTAGGTGAGGACTTGTATTTATGGATGGTGAGGTGATATTTTCAGATTCGTTTAAAGGATTTTCTGAACTTGAGTTATCTGGGAAGATTGTAAAACTAGGATTTTTTGTTGGTGATGTGATGATGTTTGATGGTAGATCATTTAGTGGCCCATTGCTTTTGTTGTAGGACTGTAGAAGTTCTAAATCTTGAGGTTCAATCACATGATAATGGTTTATGGCTGGTGTTTGGACAAAGGGCAAGTTTGATGGATCAAGTAATGCATTAGTTTTTGACTGATCTGTAGCCTTGCAAGGAAAAATGTTTTCATAGAATGTGACATATCTTGAAATAAAGATCTTGTTAGTTCCTAAATCCACCAGCTTATAACCTTTCATTCCAAATGGATACCCCAAGAAAATACATCGTTTAGCTCTTGGATCAAATTTGTGTCTATTGTGAGTGAGGGTAGTGGCAAATGCCAGGCATCCAAAAACTTTAAGGTGGGAATAGTTTGGTTTCTTGTTGAGGAGAATTTCAAAAGGTGTTTTGTGTTTTAGGAGGGGTGAGGGAGTCCTGTTTATGAGGTATACGGCAGTGAGTACACAGTCATTCCAATATTTCATGGGAATTTCACTTTGAAACCTTAGGGCCCTTGCCACATTGAGAATATGTTGGTGCTTCCTCTCCACTACAGAGTTTTGTTGTGGAGTTTCAACACACGATTTTTGATGCACAATTCCTTTTTCAAGATAGAATTCTTTCATGTTAAATTCCCCTCCATTGTCACTTCTAATTGTCTTGATTTTGGCTTCAAACTGATTTTCAATCATTTTACAGAACCTTTGCAAAGTAACACCAACATCAGATTTGCATTTCAAGGTATATATCCAAGTGCATTTACTGTAGTCTTCTATTGTTAAAAAATATTTTGAGCCATCATATGCTACTTCATTACATGGTCCCCAAAGATCACAATGAACTAAATCAAAACATTTTGCTGACTGATATTGACTAGTAGGAAAAGGGGGTTTGTGCATTTTGGCTAAAGGACAGATCATACAAGGCTTGCTGTTATTTGTGGAGATCTGATTGCTATTTAAGGATTTAAGACTGTTGAATGAAGGATGTCCTAATCTGTAGTGCCATAGATCGAACTCTTCATTGTGTGTGACAGCTGCTGTGATGGTTTTGGTGTTGCTTACAATATCAAAGAATGCTGATGGTGAAGTTTCCTTTTGTTGGAGATGGTACAGACCATGCCGTACCTTACCCATCCCAATTGTTTTTCAGGTTAAAAGGTCCTGTATAAAGCAAAAGTGAGACAGAAAAATAAGACAGCAATTCAAATTGGTTGCTAGTTTTCTAGCTGAAATCAAATTAAAAGAGAAGGATGGGACACAAAGTACATCATGCAGGATTAACTTTTCTGAAATTTGCACGGTGTATGAGTGACAGCAACACCATTCTCATTAGGGAGTGTGACTGAGTGGGAAACCTGTGCCACAATGTTAGTGAAGAAGGAAATGTCACAGATCATATGATCTGTGGCACCTGTGTCTATGATCCAAGGTGTTATAGCTCGTGTCTTGGATTTTGATGCAAACGCAGAGAGACATAGAGATATACCAGAAGCATTAGGCATTTGATCCTCAGTAGTGCAAGGAGTAATGATTGAACAAACTTGGCTTGCCAAATGAGTTGATGGTGAAACACTCTGCTTGTTGAGAAGTGCTATGAGCTGAGTGTATTGCCCTTTTGTAATGGGAGAATGAGCACTCCTGGTAACCTGATTTACAGAATGATTTGGGGGTTTAACTTTGTTGTAGGGTTTGTGTCCTTGGGGGGTATCCATGGATTTTGAAGCATTTGTCTATGCTATGACCAGGAAAGTTACAGTGGGAACACATTGGTATCTTAGGATTAGCCTTGAGGCATCTTTCCAGCGAGTGCCCTGCAATTTTACAATGAGTGCAAAAATACTTAGCATTTCGATTAGTTGAGTGCTGATTTCCATTTCGAATTCCACGAGTCATCATTGCCATGGAGTCATTGGTTGGAGAGTCCATTGAAATCTGCCTTCTCTTTTCTTCTTGTTGTATAATAGAATATACTTCATTGAGATCAGGCAAAGGTTTGATTAGAAGAATTTGAGCTTTAATATCCTTATAAGATTCGTTCAGGCCCATAAGAAATCTCATGACCCAATCCCTTTTCTGATTATCCACAACAGTGCGAAGTCCTCTACAAGTGCAATTAGGTATGGATTCATAATTCATCAAGGAGAGTTTTGTATTTCGAAAAGTAAACGCTCACAGCATCTTGGTTTTGCATTAAGTTGCTGATGGCTTGTTTTACCTCATAAATTCGTGGGGCATTTTGTTGAGCCAATCGATGTTCTAGTTCCAGGCATAGCTCTCTAGCGGTTTCTGCATAAAGAGTGCAGGATTTTACTTCCATAGACATGGTGTTTTGTAGCCAGGCTATCACAAGATCATTGCAGTGGAGCCAGTGTTCTATCAGAAAGCTACTGGGGTCTGGCTGTGTTAGGCTTCCATCAATGAACCCAAGTTTGTTTTTAATTCTGAGGGCCCTCTTCATAGATCTTGCCCATGCATAGTAGTTGGTGTTATCAAGTACATGAGTGACCAATATTGTCCCAGAGCTATCACTTCCACTTATATAGTATGGACTGTGGGGATGAGCAGGGTCATCAGGATTTGGTGTGGAGTACGTGTTCTGGTATTGTTGAGGATTTGGATTGAGGTTTTGATGTGCAGTAGATTGGGAATTTGGGTTGAGGTCTTCATGCGTGGCAGATTGGGTATCTGTGCTGTGATTTTCAGCCATTGTTATGGCTCTGATACCATATTACAAAATGAAGGTATGAATGAAGAAGAATAATGAGGCTATTGCAGCACGTAAATGGAGAAGAAGAAATGATTATTGTATATTCTCAAATGCTTGCAATTACAGTATATATATACACACATAACAGATAAAAAAACGGAATAAATGTTATACATGTTGCCTAACAGAATTTTCTTCTACACTCTTCTTCAACCGGTATCCACAGTATATTCCTTATGCAACTTGTCGGGTCTCTCATCTTCTAGAATGTTTTGCTGTTGACATGGCTTGAGGTGGGGTTGCTGACCTGTTTTATCCTAGTGGCATTTCATTTTCTCTTCATACTTCAACAGTTGCCAGCCCGATAATTGTTTTTATCACTTATTTTACTGAATTTTCGAGATGAGACTTGATATAGATTTTTGATGTTATGTCTTATCTGATGAATATTGGGAAAATGGAAAACTGTTTTATTTGTTCTTCATTAATGTTGTTTGGAATTTGGTTACTCTGCTTATTGGTGTTTTTTGTGTTTGGTTTCAGGGGAAACCAAAATTCTTGCTGCTGTTTATGGGCCAAGGGCTGGGACAAAGAAAAATGAGAATCCGGAAAAAGCTTGTATTGAAGTCATTTGGAAGCCCAAATCTGGCCAAATTGGTGAGATTATGTTCAGTGTTTGTTTTTGATCTATATAAAATTGTAAACAAAAGAATTATAAAAGCTTTCCACTACAATGGACCTCTCAAATGTGTAACAGCTTATGGTTGCATATTTGCAAGATATATATCATGCATGCCTTCATGTCCTTTCGTCGTCGTATTATTGTTTTATAGATTGAAGCCCTACAAATTGACTATTTTTCATATACTGTATTGTTAGCTTTCTCAGACAATTTCTCATTAAGTTAACCTTGCACCACTTCATCATCATGTATAGGTTGAGTTTGCTGAATATTGACTTTTGTTTGAACGCTCTAGATGCTGATGCTGTTTCCACTGATTGATGTTTTTTTGAACTTGGTAAATTTTAGGGAAAGCGGAAAAGGAGTATGAGATGATACTGAAGAGAACTTTGCAAAATATCTGCCTCTTGAATGTTCATCCGAATACCACCACATCGATTATTATCCAGGTACAACTGTTGAACAACTGACTCAGTTGGAACCTTTCTTCCAAATTTGTTGCTAACTAAATTTAACAAGAACCAGTTTGGCATTCTAAATGGGTCACTTCAGTGTTATAAAGAAATTGAATTGTCCAATATCTGTTGTCGTGTTAACATTCTTATAAATTATTTCTTCAATTCTACAAACATCATTCGCCTTTTCAATGACCATGGAAACAAACTTATTTCCAATATGAACTGATGTTGACCTCTTCATCATTGCATGCTTAAGAAATAGGTAGATCAAACATGGTTCTTAGTTAACCAAGCTATTGGAATAAGGCTTAACTTGTTACTATTGTTTGTTGTTTTTCTAGCAATCATGGAGTTTTGCACGTGGGAGGGGTAACAGAAGGTTAACTAGACAACTGCTTTATGCAAGAGTAGTAATGCAGTATTGTCTGAACCTACTGTGAATCCTAATTCGGATGGACTATCAGGGTTACTACAAAGTTATAAGATGATAGAGATAGAGAGACCATTAAAATATTTGCAAAAAAGTTAAAAGGTTTTTTGATGGCTAACTCATATTTATTTTTCTTGCTTTTGATTAAAATATTTGCAATAAAGTTAAAAGGTTTTTTGATGGCTAACTCATATTTATTTTTCTTGCTTTTGAATTTTATGACTTTTCAAATTTGCAACTATTGATCATAAAGTACTACATCATTCCACATCGGATATGTTGTGGCTTTGTGAATGTTTCTATAATATACTGTATAGACGACCTTGAAGCATATCTTTAAGCATTTTGGGCCTGTGGTTTAGGATTCAACATGCTGCGAGGGCTAGTGGTTTCACCAGACCGTGAAACATAGGATACGATAATTTACCTCTTTCACTTACTAAACAGGGTCTCTTTAGTCCAATCTTTATGCATCTTTTTGTGCTTGCATTAATATGTTGGTGTGACTCCTCAACTTTCACATTCATGCAGGTTGTTAATGACGATGGTTCAGTATCCTTCATGATTATGCAGCTTAATTTACTGAAATAACGGCATATATAGAGGAAACACTGCTTGCTTTCTTATGCTACTAATGCAGTATTTGGACTTTCCTATTTCCTTGAATCAAAACCTGATTTTAAATCTATAGCACGGGGAAATTCTAAGGTATAATTTGCGGAGCAAGCTTATTTGCCAATTAAACAAATTAAGGGCATGTTTGAGCCCCATTATTTCCTAAGAATGCATTTTGGAATAATAGATTGATGGAAAATGTTTGATTAAAAAATAAGGAAATGTTTTTGGTTTGTGTGTAATATTATTTCATTGAAGAATATGTGGTTGAAATGAAGATAGAGAAATGTATTTTGACAATAATGGGGATCAAACAAGGGATAAATGAAAAAGTAAATTTAGGATGGTAAGCCTTTTTAATGTACTTGCTGACTGTTTTTAATTAAACATATACTTTTACCAAAGAAAAGAAATGAAACGTTAAATTTGACCTTGTTATCTTTAATATTTGGAACTTTGGTTTCTTGACCTCTCTCTCTCTCTCTCTCATTGCTGTATTTTAACAGAAATTTCGAAATGACCACCCTGGTAGTTCTTATTATGAGTTCCAGTAAAGGAGTTCATTTTATGGTTTGTTCTATTTTTTGAAAGGAAAGAAAATTTAGGTTTCAGAAACATTAAGGGAGAAAAACAATTTCATGCTAACATATGATGTTTTTGGGTTTTATATTAATTTCATGAAAATTTTTTCTTTAAGCACTATACATGTTAATATTCCGTGTTCTGAAGGCCATTATCTTGTTAACTTCCTTGACTAACCTTTTGTTAAGCTTCTCCCTTGTGCTATAAATGCAGCATGTTCTGCCCTTGTAGATGCTGGATTTCCTTTGAAATATCTTGCCGGTAAACATTATATATTGTGATTCTTCCCATTAGTGTTCTGGGGAATGGTGTACTGAACATGCTTCGATATGGTTGAAATGTTCATTGAAATTTGTTGAGTACTACTAACATTTGTTGCAATTGTTTTCTGTAGTTGCCATAAGTTGTTGTCTATCAAAACATGAATACTGTATAATGGATCCCAACAAGCTAGAAGAAGAGGTATTCTAAATTCTAATTATTCTTCGTTGACTTATTCATTCTCATTCTATATTTCCCTTGTATATGAAATTTCTTTTGCCACGAGTTAGTTAAATTACTGAACGAATGTATCATCTGCATTTATATACTTTTTATAATTGCTATATAAAGTATACCGTAAGTCACTGCTATATTGATCCTGTATCCAGTATTCTGTTGGCTATTTTCAATACCCATTTTCTGTTAATAGCATAAATGTGGGAAAATACTTATAGTTTTGACTCCTTGCAGTGCTTCCATGTAAATACATATTCGATTCTCCTCCCATGTATGTATGTATGTATTGTACCTAGACATCTCTCTCACTATGTGCTTGCATAAAACATGGCAGAAAATGAAGGCACTGGTATATTTAGTTTTCCGAAACTCAATCCTGTCTGTACTTGATGAAGGATCAAAGCAAGAAGGAGAATCAATTGAAAATGGAATTATCACATCTGTTACTCATGGTGTAATGACAGGTATTTGTCATACTTCACGTATCTTTTAGTTCATTCAAAACCTTCTATTACGACAAACTAGTGGTAAAAGTATGGGAGACATTGGATTCCCTGCTAGTTCACAGTGATGACTTGGGTGTCATGGCTAAGCAGTTTAAGATTCTTGACGTCTCTCTCTAGTATTTCTTGGTGTAGAATTGTGGATGTTCTCCTTTTAACTGATAGTAATGGGCTTACATCGAGCTTACCTCGTGTTTTTACTGTTGCCATGGATGAGCTTAAAATTCATAATGAGTTTGGTTTTGTATTGGTTTTGCTTCTTTCCACAAAAGAAGCAGCCTTCTGTTTTTTTAGTTCAAAAGTGGTCTTTAGTCTTCTTTCGGCAGTAAGACCCATTTTAAGCAACATTTTTTCTACTCTATATATTTCTATAACTAAAATGACATTTCATGTATTTTCTTTCAACTTTGCTTAACTTAAAGCCTGTAGATTTCACTGTGGTTCTTTGAAGTTTTAACATCTATTCCCCTCCTACACCCTTGAGGCCGTAATCTGGAACTGTGCCCATATATCTAAAAAATTCATTCTAGATATTTTTCATTTGGTCATCATGACTTATTCAAGATGAGGTCTGTTGGTGCACGTTATGCTCTGTCCCCCACCTGTCAAATGTATATCACATTTGTATTTCAATTTTCTTTGAAATAATTACAATACCTGGGCATAAACATGTGCCTGTTTTTTATTTGCCTCCACATATCTTACAGCTTGCATACATTTGTACACAGTGAACGATTACTTTCAGTGTCTGGAACAAGGGCGCGCTGCAATTAAGCCGCTATCTAATTTTCTTAGGAAAAAGTTGCAGTCGAAGGTACAAAGTGATGTATCTATAGCCGGCTGAATTTATTGAGGGCAATGCAGAGGATATCTGCATCAGAAAGTACTTTGATTTTCATGGCATGTCTTGTATAGTGCTTTCCCGTGGTTGCTGACTCTGCTTGAAATTTGATGTGTTGTGAAATAGTTATGCATTGACTACCCTATAGCTTCTTAGATGAACGATACCCATTAAAGAGCTATTGGAATTGATACTATTAAGGGAAATACAAAGCATTTAATACTTTTGCACTCTCTGTTTCTTCAAAAAGGCACAAGTACACAACTCTTCTGGAACCTTATTTCTAACATGCAGGAACCTTATCCATTGAAGACAACGTATAGGAAAGGGTAAAGATGAGAAAGACTAACATTCCTCTGTAAAATACAATATTAGGAAAATTCGAAGAGATGAACTGAATGAGTATGGTTTGCTTGGTCGTGGTCAGCCTGTTTTCCATGTCTCATCTGATGATCCAATGTGAGACTTCATTCATCAAGATTTGCTTTGTTTTATTACATTACATCCCAACTTGATCTCGTATATAATTTTGCTTATATAACATCAACCATCAATGAACATCATTGCGTGCAGAAACTGAGGTAACAACGTTTCAGTCTGTCATTCAAGCGTTACTCAGAACCCTGCCTAAAACTCCTAAATTCCATTGCCTAATACAAGTGGTAACCATAGTCAGAACTATCAACATCAGAGTTACTACTCATCTCGAAGCTTTTTCTCATTATTGTCATTTCTTCTACGCCACTGACATTACTTCTCGGGCTTCTGTCTCTAAGCCTTCTGTCTTTTTCTTTCCTCCATTTGTTCTTTTTACGCCAATGCATTGCCAACATTATTCCAAGCCCGCAAAATACAATCATTGTGCACCCTCCTCCTATTACTACTAGTTCCACTTTTACCAATCTGTTTCCTTTTCCCTTTGGCATTGTTGACCAAATGGCTGCTATAAAAGCTGATGCCATAAACAGTGTAGAAATCCACATTACCTTGTGAGTTATTGTAAGTAATTTCATCATGGATTTCCTCTTGAAAGGGATAATGCTTACCAGAACATTCACAATGCCAACAGAAAGGAATAAAGCTACAATATTGCATACCAAGAAAACCTTAAAAGAAGTTTGCCTTCCAAGAATTGCATACGCAGTTTCTTGACAGAATCCACCGGGAGGGTTTATGCCTGCTGCAAATGTAACAGTTGCAATTAGAACTGCAACTATTGTTATGGTATGTCGAGCATTTCGTAGACTCTCATAGTGGAGATCAAGCAGCTTTTTCTGTAGGCGATTTCGCCTGTGATGACGATGATGGGGAGAATCAGATGCTTCTAAATTCTTGTTTGGCCGTGAATTCATCCTTGCAACATTTTCACCTGAACTTTTAGAAGTGGAGCTGGCATTTTGTCGAACGTCTAGCAGTTGAGTAGATAATTGATTACGTCTTTTCGCACCGGCTTCTTGTAGTGCTGGTACAATTACAAGAGCACCTGAGTTGCTTGCATCTGCCTCAACCACATCAAGAGCTGTTTTTCCCTTGCAGTTAAGAGCATTAACCTCCATCCCAAATTTAAGCAGGTATACAACCATCTATAAGCAATTAATTTACAAGGCAAGTCACGTTACAAATACTGAACTAGACAAGTTTTAAGAAATCAGTTTTCATGAAATTGATCTTGCCCTCAATAGACATGATAAAAACTTCTCAATACCGATGTGACACGATAACCTTAATTATGGTTCACTGAGTTTGAGAGAACCACAATATTCTCTTGTCACGTCAGCATTGTGAAGTTTGTATTTCAGAGAGCCATAAAAAAAGTTCTTTTATCATGTCGCCCATAATGGACAGGAGATTAGGCCTGTCAGTATTCATACCGAGCACAAGCTGTTAAACATATAAAGCAACATGTCCCCCTAACGTTAGGTTTGGCTCACGCACAATTTTCAAAAATGATGTAAAGTAACCTAGACCCTAAACACGTAACCATATTCTTTTCTTCTTCTAAGGAGTTGCATATTCTTCCCTTTCTTTATACAATATCTTCGTGTAAACCCTTGAACCCAAAACCATATTCCATAATTATAATCAAAGAGTTAAGACTTAAGAGATCTTACACCGGCGAGTTTTCCCGCGGTAGCCAAGTGCAGAACAGTATTTCCATTACTATCAGCCAAGTTGAGAAGCTTTGTTGTGTCAAGTGTTCCCATTAAGTACCTAATTACTTCGAAGTGATTGTTCTTGACAGCTAAGTGCAGAATTGTTTCCTTATTGTGTGTCAAAATTTCAGCAGATTCCATACTTGCAGAAATTATTTCATCAATTATGTTTATTCTGCCTTTAATTGCTGCACAATGAAGAGGTGTTTTGCCTTCAATATCTTGTATAGAGGAAAGATCTGAATCCAGCTTTAGAAATTCTCTTGTTATCTCTAAATGGCCTTTGCTGCATGCTAAATGCAGTGGTGTGCATCCATGAAAATCCTTTTTCCAAGCAAAGTCGGGACGTACTCTCAGTATTTCCTTCACTATTTCTGGAAAAGAGGGGGAACGGTTAAATCTTGTTCTCAATAAATTTAAGATCGGGAATATGAATTAGTCAACCCTCACCATTAAGATTTTTATGCAATTAGATGCTTAGCTACCCAACACAATTTTCCCAACAAGATGAAAACAAAATAATTACGTTTTTGTTTTGTTTTTTTCTTTTTAAACTTTTATATGAATAACATACATATAAATACCTAACCAAACATGTGGAAAACTCTTAACACAGCAAAAATAGGATCAACTAACCTAACATGTGGTGATCTTTTTATTGTAACATAAAGGTGATAGATTCATATAAATTCCTAATAAAACGTGTGGAAAATTCGGACTACAAGTTCGACAACCATTGACTTCATGGGTCAATCCACGTTGACAAATAGAAATTGATTAAAAAAATATACATAAAAATTTCTGTCGACAACCATTGACTTCATGGGTCAATGCACGTTGACAATGGAAAATTCGGACTACAAGTTCGACAACCATTTCATGCAGTCAAAAAATTGATTTTAATTGGCTTTTAATCCGTACCAAACATGCTCTAAAAATTGTGCTCGTATTAAAGATATTTTAATAAAAAAAAAAAGAAATCTAACCTGTACGCTAAAGAAATTTAAATGAATAAGTAAAAATTTAGTTTCTAAGATCATCTTCAATGATGGAGCAAATTGAGATTTAAATCTTCGAAGTGGTTGGAAATCTCTCCAATTAAGAGATGCAAATTGCATTTTTCAACATAAAATGTAAAAAATAAAAATAAAAAAATTTAATAATAATAATAAAAAAAATGTAAATTTATATGTATATTTTTTTAAACATTGACAAGAGTCAAAAAAATAGATTTAGATCTTTCCGTTGAAAGCAGACTTTGGATTCAGATCGACCGGGATGTAAATAAGGATGCAAAAATGATTTTGAAGAACCAATTTACACTCAATTTTACACCATCATTGAAGATACTCTAAAAGAGTCACATTATAATAAGAATGAGAAATAGAGCCATTATGGGCCCCACCCCAGAAATAGAAATTCAAAAATGATGACTTGATGTGATGAATAACGGTCATATTTTTCATTTTAATGAGGTAAAAATGGGGCTCAAACAGGACTATATATATATATATATAGCACAAACAGCCGAGGGAAATTCATCAGATGCTTCACTGCATCAATCTTCCCTCTCTCACACGCTGCGAAAAGTGCACTTTCTTCGTGAGAATTCACTCTGTAAATGATCGAACTATCACTTTCCAGCAATAGTTTGATGATCTCCAAATGCCCTTCTCTGCATGCTTCATGCAAAGGTGTTTCCAGCTCTATATTTTCCACTGAAACCATCTCTGGACACAGTTTTATGATCTCGGATGCCAATTCTTCGTGCCCGAATCTTGCAGCCAAGTGCAGTCCGGTGTGCTGCGATCCTTGGACTGTTTGTTTAATGATGTTTTCATCATTTTCGGTTAGGCTGTGAAGGAGCGAAACTTCACCGTTTACCAATGCCTCGTGGAGCCGACGATCCATTGCAAAAAGATTCTTGAACCACCGTCTAAAAATTTAAATCAGGAAGGTGAGGAATGAAGGAGAAATGGCTAATACGAATGATTTTCTGTGTGAAATTTATAAAGAAAGTGAAGCCATTTTTCCACCGATTTTCGAGTGAATTGGCACTTTGCAAAAAGTTTTTAAGATTCTCTCAACTTTAAAAATCACCTAAATGATCACTAAACTTTGTAAAAACTTTCTATGGATCAATGAACTTTAAAAATCACCTAAATGATCACTGAATTTTGTAAAAAGTTTTCACTAGATCAGTCAACTTTGTAAAAGATTTTCAATGACCCCTGAAAAACCTTTTGCAAAGTTCAGTGATTTTTAAAGTTCAGTGATTCCGTATAAACCTTTTGCAAAGTTTAGTGACCATTTCAGTGATTTTTAAAATTCATTAACCCCTTATAAACCTTTTGCAAAGTTTAGTGACCATTTGAACAATTCACTCCCGATATTCCGTGTGAACTTTATAAAGAAAGTGAAGCCATTTTTCCACCAACTTTAATTTTAAAATGCATATGAAGTTTTATGACAATATTTAAAGGATATATCATTCTCTAACACTTAGGGTGCGTTTGATTATTAATATTTTTTATGAAAAATGTCATTTTTCACTCAAATTTTTACTTTTGTGCTGTTTTATTGATAAAAAATTCTCCTCCTCTAGATTACATAACCATATTTTCCTTGAAAATAATGAAAATATTTTCTTTATAATGAGTATGTTTTTATTTTTCAAGCAATTCTTTCTCTCTTTCTCATCTACCCCCCCCCCCCCCCCCCCCCCCACACACAAAAAAAAAAAAAAAAAAAAAAAAACAAAAAAAAAAAAAAAAAAAAAAAAAAAACTCTACCAACCAAAAAACTGGACAAATATAATATTTTCTAAGTTGAAAATTAAATTAATCAAATAGATTTAATTGACAATTTTCATGCAAATAAATTCTAGATAATTTAATTGCTTAAAATTTATTTTCTTTCCATATAAATTTAATGCTTGTAATTAAACGCACCCTTAATTTTTAGATCAACGTCAACATGGTATTAGAGAATGTAAAAGTCCTACTATAAAGTACCGTGTCTATCAATTTAATGAAATTGGGAACATTTTTTTTTTTAAAATTTTTTTTGGAAAAAATGTGTGCCTACACATTATATGCATATTCAATACAAAATTTAAATGATTCACGTGTAAGTGACTTTCTTTAAATATTTATGTCAAATTATTCAAGAGAAGTCTATGATGTCGACAACAATTATGTAGCAACAAAACTTTTCCTCTATAAACTTCCATATAGTTGTTGACACATTCTTTGTAGCGTAACAATCGCGGTGGTTTGACCATATTCCTACCAACCATTTGAAATTTCTTAGCAATTAAAAAGTGCTGCCAATAATTCTATGTTACAATGCAAACCCATCTTTGGTTTAGAAAATTCTCTCACGTTTTAAATCAGTAGGGCCTCAGTTCTAATTTACTTTTCATTGCTAAATAAGAAAATCTCCAATAAATAACAGTATAATAATTCTAAGTCTGGCGTCAAGTCTTTATTAATATCAAAGCACACGTCTTCTCTCTCTCTCTCTCTCTCTCTCTCTCTCTCTCTCTCTCTCTCTCTCTCTCTGATTTTTCAATTAATTTTTCTTCACTCGCACACTTCTTTAACTTTTATTCTCTAGCAGGAGAAGATATATTTTACATCATTACGAATACTAATAATTGAATTATGTGCTTCCTTCAACCATGCAAACAAAATCAAATTAACAATATGCTCATAACACCTTATGTGCAGATACTTTCCATCTAAAACACACTCATCACCACTTCGACCAAGGATCCTTCTCTTATTATAAAAAATAGTCATTTTATATGTATTTGCAAGCAATATGTTGGAGAGAATGCTTGAGAAGTGATGGCCAAATACCCGGAGAGAAGAGCAAAAGGATCAGTGGCCACAAAAGGCTATGTTTCAAATCAAAGAAAACATTTCACACTTCATGCAAATGACAGATTAGGGTTTTACATTTGATATTGGGTTTGGTCGAGTTTATGAAATAATGATTTCGAATTGTATTCGCAAGTGTACGATTCGCAACAAGTAATAAAGTGGATTCTAGAGTCTGAATGTTGTCCCACAGTGATTGATTCAGTTCGATATTATTTATCAAGATCTTAACCAAAACTAAATTATCACGAGTGATTTTATAACCTAATTACTCCCTAGCCTAAGCTAATTATGCATGCAATGAACAGAATGCAAATTGATGTTTAAATGAACTAAAATGCTAATAAATGTTGAAAACACAATTTAATGTATTCAGTGATTGTATAGCGCACCAGGATCACGAATTCCCAAGTAATGTTCAATTTAACTCTAATTTTACAAATTGACAACACGATGAAATTTTGAAGAATCAATGCTCCTAAATTTATCTAATATTCTCTCTCGAGTACTGTTAAACCTGCTGTCATATACCACCAGCCTATACAAAAATATACAAGAATGCATGTGATTTTGTGAGCACTTAAAGATTCACGTAGGGTATAGCGGTACATCTCTATCTTCTATCAGACTCTATGATGATTTATACCATGTCGAACCTATTTATCTTCTCTCGAATGCAAGAAACAAGTCACCCAAACTCACACAATTACGGGCCCTTAATTGCGGAAGAAATTGAATGCATATAAACCATTCAAAATAATCAAATGTGGTTTAATGTCAAAAATATGAAAAGGAATTAAGAATCACATTATAAGGTTCATCGATCTCCTAATACATAAAAATCTAGCCTAACATGATGGGAAGAAGAAAACAAACTAAATAATAAAGAAAAGATATGACTACTAAATCTTGAATTGAATCCTTATTTCTTGATATCAATCTCCTTGTTCTTGCCTTATTCTCCTCTCTAAAAACCTTATGAATATGTTATAATGCGTGGTGTATGCTTAGGGACGGCCCTAGGGTTATAAAATACCTCCAAAGATTTGTTTCCATAAAAATTTCAGTCAAAATAGGAAACAAGAAAATTTTCGCCGTGATTGCCCAAGCAAAACCCGGGCAGTCACCCAATTCAAAGTTTTCTTCTCTGTAATTGTTTTTTGACGTTGGGCAATTGCCCACTCTAAACAACTAGGCTATCAGTCAGTTACAAAAACTTTCGAATGTTGTATTTTAGCCCTTGAAGTCGATTCTTTATTCTTTCAAGTCATTTCTCTTGCATTTTCAATTCCTTGACTTTAATTTGCATCCAATTGAACACACAACACCTTTAATCTTCATTTTGTGGTCAGAATCAATTATTGAAATGTTACAATTTAGTCCTCATACTTTGAATTTCTCCATTTTTCTTTTCTTTTATCTTGAATTTCGTCATATCCATCAATATAGTCCTACAACACAAAATTATACAGAATTAAGCCATAATCCAAATGCTTTGATCAATAATTAGTCATATTTTGTGGACCAAATAAGTGTGTCAAATGCACTTATCAAACTCCTCAAACTTGAACTATTGTTTATCCTCAAATAAGATAGTGACTTAACTCTGCATAAAACATGACTTGACAACATGTCGTGTCTCAGGATTGAAATTCAGTAATCAACATAAGAAACAGTTATTCATGTCAAGCTTATGATTGGTTTACTCCCGACGGGTGGATGCGGATGAGTGGAGGTGTCAGGTTGGTCTGCCTGGTTGGATGAACTAGTGGTTATGAGAGATTCAACGGTCCTTGCTATCTAGTGTATATTCCAATCAATTGTCTCCAGTTGACTCTCAAAACGCATCATTTGCTCATCCACTTGTCTATAAGCATAAGTGATTGTTCTTTGATCATAGTGTGTCCGGTCATCACTTAGCTGGAACCCTCACACGTGTACATTTACTCTTTGTAATTTCTTCTGCATATCCAACTGTATTCGCTGCATTTCCTCCAAAGAATTTGTCATAGTGCTAATAGATCTACCCAGCTGCACTTGAGTTATCTACATCTGAGATAGCTATCTACTGAGGATGCCTATATCAGCATTTAGGACTTGCTGGGGTTGTTGAGCTCCCTGCTCGGAACGATGTATTCTCTTTGCTCCTCTCAGCCTAGCCTCTAAATTTTCAATTGTTCTTCTGCTGATTGGGGGCATCTAGAGCAACACTCTCTTCTCTTGGCAACAGTGGTACCCCGACTGTCAGACAAGTTCTACTGATTAAGCAAGAAAACATAATACTACGCTGAGTATCTATGGACGAGGCCAGCTCTCATATGAAGGCATATATATAGGCTCCCAGGTCAAACTTACTGATGTGATTCGGAGCCACAAGCATCAAGGTTAAGTCCAACGTCAAGCCCAAAGAAAGATCCGTTGATAGTCGAGGGCGGTTCAATGACTAGAGGGAGGACGAAGCGAGTAAAAGAGGTGATGTGATTTGTCGTTCAAGAAACCATTGATGAAATGATGTTCGAGATGCAAAACGAGGTAACTTTCATGTTCGGGTCAAGAGTTGAATCAAATTGGATCAACTCAATACAAGTCGACGAAAACGGAGGCAAACTAGTCTACCATGTGACCGCATAGTAGAACGGGGCTTGCGGTCGCATAGGGTGTGGTAGGGCCAATACGGTCATAGTTCAAGTGAAATATGCGACTGCATAGGCTTACACTATGTGGTCGCATAGTGTTATTTCAGGGAAAAAATTTCTTTTTTTCGTGTTTTTTTCCATATTTTGTTAAAATTTTATTTCTAGTCAAATTCTTATAATATTGGTTGGTTATTTTCAAGATTTTACTAGATTATTAGTATTTTATTCCTTTTTAACTTCTATTCTAGGATTTAGTATAAATAGAAGTTTATTCCTTCATTATAAAGAACATTTGAAATATTGATTAATTGAAATGCTTTAATTGCTTTCTCTTTGTTCTTCCAATTGAACAACTTTCGAACTTATTAAGATCTAATTCTTGTGGCGTTCA